CGAGGAACAATGCGTCCTCCAGTTGCAATGGCGATTAACTGAGGTTAAGCAATCATCGATTATTTTGAGAAGACTTTTCCATTACGTTTTCCATAACATAAAACCAGTGGAAGAGAATTTGTCAAATGGCTACTCCATGAGGGTATCTCCCCACCACTTCAAAGTATTTCAGGCGACACCTTGTTTCTACAAACAGCGACACTGAAGCAGAAACATTCCTAGCCACATAAAACTTTTAACAAGTAATATGCATACACTCCAATTATAAACCATAATCCCATTCATTGTAGGGGTCTTCCCACAGCTCTCCAATAATTTTTCTCCCATACCTATCCATACACATGATTACATGGTTCTACCCAGAAAGCCTGAACTTTTAACTCGTACAGCATATTATTTAACAAATGTTTGAGAATTGGTACAAAGTCCAATCGTAGAAGATTTTACTTACTTCTATTTCAGGTCCACCAACCCAACGAACAGCAGGCAGCTCATTCTGGAGCAGCAAGTGATTTGCCTCATCATCAAAACCCCACTGGCAAATAGCAAGGTTTGCACCAGTGTCTTTTATCTGAAAGCAACAGACAACATCAATCTTCTGATCAGAACTAACACAGAATTAAACCCATGAAGAGAATGGTTTTCATTTTCTTAATTTTCTCAAAACAGGAGTCTGAAAAAGAACCATCTGGCATACATAAAGATCAAAGTAAGTTTCAAACCAGGGTTGTATCTCTTTCTTACATGAACTTAACTTACTTACTCATAGCCTTACAATTGCTTGCATGGTGCCTCTTATCAGGATTATCAGCTCATTTCCAAAAATAAATCAATTCACTCTGCTAATTTTGTGTAAAGGCTATGAAAAACACAGAAAACAGAGAAATAATCTTAGACTACCTGTTTCACCATCTCTTCAAACTTCTCCTTTTCGTATTTCTGCAGTGCCTTGTAATCTTCCACAGATGTGACATCAAGCTTATGCTTGGTTTTGGGCTTAGGTGGTTCAAACGGACAAGTAAGGATTGCAATCTTAGCATCTTTAAGCTCCTGTACAATTAAAAAAAAAAAAAAAAAGTTGAGTTTTGACCTCAGTAACACCTCTTTCTTATATTTGCAAAACACATAAACTTATCTTTAAAAGCACAGGGATAGGAGAAAACTAGAAGATCATTTGACTTAAAGTGAATCTAACTATACCCAAATAATTCCAGCAAAAGTCTCTAACACACACTTCGAACACATTCCACAGCTTCAAGACACTGTTTAAACCCCTAACAATCTCTACCGGTGATGTCTTTGTATAGTTGAATGTTTAAAGAAAAACAGGAAAAAAACCAACTTAAATGAAACCATTATTTGCCCTATCCACCGTGATCATTGAGAATACTACACACTCCTCTTCATAGCCAACTTTTACGTACTACACAAGTGATATTTTCCACCAGTCTTCCTTTTTATAGGATGAACAGTGTCAGCTACTAGAAAAATATTTTAGAATAGTAGAAATTTTAAATTGCCTCCATCTTTCTTGAAGTATGATGCACAAACACTTGGAGACCTTAGCTGTATCAAATAAAAGGATAGCTTCTGGGGAGTTCCAAACAGGACAAGGTAACTCGTGAAGCATATGAAGCAGTTCTTGATACTCAGTTGCATTAAGCATCTCAAGCATATTGCGCACTGTGGATGATTATTTCTACTTCAACACAGAACTCTCTATCTAACCTCACTTAGTTGTAGAGTAATCCCCACCCCCCGCCATAATTTTTCAACTTCTCAAGATTCTTGTAAATTCTAAGCTGGTCTCCTCCAATATCAAGAATTTAATGCTCCTCTCTCCTTTCTCTGTTGATATATGGGTAAAAAAACATGCCAAACCACAACACTGTTTAAATACTTCAGAAATACTAGGACAGCATTTAATTTATTTAAGCCATTACAGATGAGAGACACAGAGGGACATTACTTACTTTAGGCATCTGTGGATGACTGAAATCCTTATCCACAATCACACCTTTAACCAACTGGGTATCTTCCAGTCTACCTCCCACTTTGCCTTGTACTTTGATCAGCTCAAAATCAACATCTTTACGTTCCATATCTGCCACTGTCAGTACAGCATTTACAGCAATTTCTGCCATTTGTCTGTGACAACGGTTAACCCTGGATTTTAAAAAATACAATAAAGTTGCATTACATTTCCACAATTTGGAAGAAAAAAAGTGATTCTATCAATCTTGAAGAGAAATAAAGTATCACTATAGCTAACAACTTTTGTATGCTACATGAAAAAGAGGGTTCTGCTTATATGTTTACACAAATAAAAGATGCTAAATATGGCAGAAAACTGAACACACAGTATAGTTTGCCTAAGTAGTCTTTGTGGATGTAGTCTCAGGAAACAGTTTTGAAAGAAGTGGGGAGAACGAACTCCTAAGAAACATTAAAGTCACAGAAACCACTGTTAAGACAGCTCTGCAGAGGAAAGCCTTACAATGTCTGAACTTACATACCACACATAGAACCTATAATGAAAAATGCACTTATGGAACTATCCCACAATTATATTTTTTTTTTAGGGAAAAAAAAAAAAAAAAAAGAAACAAAACAAACTTTTGAAATATAACACATAATTATTTTTAAAAGGTTTGCATCACTCTTGGGATTTGCCATGATGTAGAAATCTGGAACTAATAAGTTAGAATTAAATTGATTTTGCAGCTGTTTAACCTCATGGAATTGAGCCTTTAGAGAAAGTTTCTTAACCTGAGACATGAGTCCATTGAGAAATTAGCTGCAAACAAACATAAAGGAGCCTTCTGCAGCCACTCCAGTCACACAAACAATTTAATAATCCATCAAAACACCAGAATTTCTCCTTTCGACTCGAAGCGTTTTTAAGAGAAACAAATATTCTTCTGAAGTTGTTGTGACTTACACTTTAGATCCTAGCGTTGTCTTTGCTGTCTGGATCAGAGGTTCAATGTTCTGTGGATCAACTGGAAAGCTGTCACTGATTTTGTCTAGGTGCTCAATAGCAATGCGGGCTGCCTGCTCATAACCATCTGCTATTCTGATAGGGTGAATACCACGATCTAGTAATTGCTCAGCCTGTTCCAATAATGCTCCAGCCAGAACTAGAAAACAAAATTTTAAAAGAAGGTTTATTCTTCCACAGATTGAAGCAACATTTTTAATACATTATCAAAAGATCAAAAAGTATGCCTTCTGATCTTTTTCCATAATATTTTATCAGTTCAAGATTCCTTAAATGACAAAATAACCCTAAACAAGCCCCCCACTTGCTATGCTTAGAAAGAAAACTGCAGTATGTTAGACCAAAAGAAGCATGGGCACCAAGGCAGTACAGGTAAATTATGGAAGAAAATTATGCAGAAATATTCTGAAGTACAAAGAGGACTCTCAACACTAACTTAAAAAGTAACCATACTTAGAAAAGACACAAAAGTGTCTTTCTAATGAAAGATTTCTAATGCAAGAACTGACGCAAATACTGATGCAGTAAATATTCTAAAAACGTGCTACAGCAAAGCTACTGTTACTTCATGAAAAATTTTCTAAAGTAGCCGAAGAAGCTTGATTTTAAAGGTTGAAAACCTAATTTAAATCTTTCTTTTTTTCTTACCAACAACTCCAGTAGTTCCATCCCCAATCTCATCATCTTGAGATTTAGACAGCTCCACCATAAGTTTGGCTATCTGGTGATCCACATCCATCATATTCAGGATGGTAGCACCATCATTTGTCACAGTCACCTCACCATCTTTGTCCACCATCATTTTATCCAAGCCTAAGAAAACACATTCAAAGCATGAAGGAAAATCTACAAAAATCCCCCCAAACAATTACTGAGGAAGAACCACTGAAATTATTTCATTATTACCATTGGGCCCAAGGGATGTTCTCAGAGTACTTGCTACAGCCTTCGCTGCCATTATGTGAGACTATAAAAGAAAGCAGAAGTATGTTAAATCGTTATCACGCATCCCAAAACCCGTAACGTTAAGCTAAGAAAAATACAGGGGGAAAACGCTAACGAGAATATTGTAATTTAGCTGACAACAGCCAATTACGATTGAGAAAAAAAAAACAATATATCCGTATGGGTTTTAGACCAGAATAATTTGGCACGCACAGCTTGCACTTACACAGTTAAAACATGCAAAAGCAAAGCAGCTAAACCGCCAGCCCCGCGGCTTAAAAGCAGGGAAGCAGCAGAAGCAAGCACTGCCAAAAGGAGAAGCCGGTATCGTTTCGCTCCGCTCTACCCTCGGCGTTGAGCCCACGCGCGCCCAGCGGAGGCTGCCGGCCCGCGCAGCCACGGCCTTTCCCGGGGAGCAACGGCCGAGCTTCGGGGCGGGGGGTGGGCCGGGAGGCGCCGGTGCGGGGCTGAGGGCAGCGGCTGCGGGGACCCCCGCACCCCCCGCGGGGGAGCCGGCCCCTCACGCCACGGCGCCCCCGCAGACCCCACGGCGCAGGCGGCGGGCTCCCCCTTCCCGCCGCCCTGCCCCTCGCACACCCGCGGGCCCCGAGCAGGCTTCAGGCGCCTGACGCGGGGCAGAAGGCGAGCGCGGGGCCCGCCCTCGCCCCACCGGGCGCCATCCCCCCGCCGAGGCCTAACAGCGCCCGCTCCCCACACCGAACGGCGGCGTGGCGTGGCGCGGCGTGGCGCGGCGTGGCGCGGCCCGCGGCCGCCCGCCCCCTCACCTTGAGGGCCTCGAGCCCCATGAGGCGCGTCTTGCGCTCCTGGTCCTTGAGGATGAGGAAGGGGCGCCCATACTCATCAAACGCCAGAGTCCCCATGGCCGACATGGCTGCCGCCGCCGTCTCCCCAGCACCGGGCGCGCGCGAGCCGGATACAGCCGCGCCCACCGCGCCACCGACGCTCCGCGCCTGCGCAGCCGGCAACCGCGCGACATATTTGGCGGGCGGGACCTACGTGGCGCCTCCAGCGGACTTTCTGGAAGCACCCGGCGCGGTGGGAGCTGCGCGGCGCTCGCGGCCCCGTCCCCCGGCTGGGGGGCCGGGGAGGAAGAAGACCGTATTAGGTCGAATATGGCCTCCGGGAGCGGTGGTAGCGGCCTGCACCGGGTGACGTGAACGAGTAGGGACAAGCACACGGCGGTAGAGTGCGCGCCGCTCCTCTCCGAGGCGCCTTCAAAAAAAGGTTTCGGTCCCTTTCCCCCCTCTCCCCCCTAGCGAAGTGGTATTGCCCTCCCGTATAAATACTGCGGGCCGAGGCGGGCTCTCTGAGGGTAATGGAGGAGCTGGCGGATGGGTTTGTGGCGGGGAGCGGTGTTCTCTGGATAAAAGTTTCTCCTGAGGGGAAGAACAATAACTGCTCTGGAACTCGGTTTCCCTGAGTGCCGGCTCCCGGGCCGCCCGCCCCTGAGCTCTGCTGGGGCGCGCTGCTACCTTGTCCGGCCGGGTTGGGAGAGCTACGGGCTTAAATGGAAACTGCTGCCCTACCTTAAAAAAATTAATATAACGCTTTAGCTTCTCAAAAGTAGTAATGTTTTCTGAGAGTCTGGGGCTCAGCTAAAGGGCTATATGTTTGTTTTTTTGTTTTTTTTTTTACTGATGTTCTATCTCTGGTGTGTTAAACTGCTTTGTCTTAAGTGAGGACGTAATAAAGCTGTTAGAGAAAATACTCTTTAATGTCTGTCTCTAGGTGTGATGTCCAGGGCAATAGCGAGCAGGAGCCACGCAGCAGGCCCGCAGGAGGATTGTGAGGGCGGCTCCAGGAGAGGCTGGGGGCTGGTGGTCACTGCTGGTGTTGGTGGGATCTTGGTGGCCCTCTATGCCGTGGTCACCCCCTTCGTGACCCCAGCTCTGAGGAAAGTGTGCCTGCCCTTTGTTCCCGCAACTTCCACACAGATCCAGAATGTGCTGAAAATGTTGGAAAAGAGAAGTGGCTCCCTAGTTGACATTGGTAGTGGGGATGGACGTATTGTAAGTTATGGACATCGCCTTCCTTTTTTGTATTGTCTCTCAAAAAAGTGCCAGATGCTCTAGCTGTGGCTGCTGTTGTTTTCTCATAATTACAAATGTCTTTAGCACCCACTGTTTTTGTTTGAGCCTTATGAAAAGGCTCAGAGCTGAGAAAGGTTTACATTCAGTTTAGGTGAGTAATCAATATTTTTTTTTCTCCAGTCTTACCTGCAGCTTGACAAGGTAGTGTACAAAACGGTGACCTCATCCTGTTGGCTGGAGGGAATTGCACTGCATTCACAATCAAAGATGCGATCGAAGTGTTGGTATTGTGATTGCCAAAAAGCTGCGATTCCATATAGGTTTATAGCTTCAGCGTGTGAGGCTGTGAGATTAAATAGCACTGTGCTTTTGGAGCTGCAGCTCTATGCTTATTGTATAAAGGTGATGGAAGAATGAGAAATGAGCGATGGATTACAAAAGTAAAAACCCCGGTGGTGGTAGAATTGTAGCCTTCACACCTTTGTGCCGTGCTGGCTGCCCCGCTTCAAAATCAGTGTGGTGAAACTAGAATAATTACCAGGAGAAATTACGAGAATCGCCAAAGCGGTACTGTGCTCCCATGAGATTGTCTGAACCCAAATTTTTAAAATGTGGTGGTTGAGGATACAGTGGAGAATGGCGCGAGGCCTTTTGAAGTTGTGGTGTTGTGTATGCTTTCATAACCATCTGCTTCAGGTCAGTTTTAGGAACAGGATGGGTTTTTTATGGAAACAAATAAGCTCTTGAATGCTACCTTTGTCCATATCTCATGTGAATGAGCCAACCATTTGTCCAGACTGAAAAATCTGATTTGGAAATCCAAATCTGTGAAGGTGGTTTATAAGGAATCGTATGTGAGTAGGAAACAGAGAAAAGCACATAGGTACGAGAGAACTGCAGTTACCTATGCTCTCTCTGCTCAGCTTTCTGGCTGTTGACCCTCATCTGAGGCACCTAATTTGACTAGGTACTGTGTGTTTAATTCTGATTTTATTTTTTCACATATACCTATAGGTGCCCAAAGGGAGACTGAAGACTACTTGGAGGGCCAAGTGCCTAAAATTGAATGCTTGATGTTGCCTTAATGCATCTGTCCTGAAAAAAGTTGAGCTTCTGTTCAGATGCTTTTAAATATTTAGCACTTACTCAGGTGTAATCAGTGGATAAATATGACCATATTTTTATTTCCAAGCATGGTAAAATGCCAAATTCTTTTATTATATTTGCCAATGTCGTGTACATGATGCAAGATGTGTTATTTTAATGGTGTGTAATGCACTGTCCAGGTAATGCTGTTTAAGAAATTCTGTTAAGAAATGTGTACGTCTTCCTGATTTCACCTTGCCTGTTCAGTAATTCATAGTTTGTCAGGCTTTTCCTGATGAAAACTCAGCAGTAACCTTTTAAATGATGACTTAAACCTTAATTCTAGAAACTAGTGCCTTTTTCTATTTTCCTTAAATCTCTTTTCTTTTTCAAAAAAATCAGTAGGTTTTGATCTTATTTGAAGACACTTGCAATACAGTTTAACATTTCTAAATGATAGGGTCTAATTTAGAGGAATGCCTTTGAAAATCTGTTATCTGAATTACCTTTTGCCTTTTAAAACGATACATGAAGCTTAGCATTGGATGAAAGCTATACTGTGACATCTGTGTGTAGGGTTTTTTTCATTTTTTATTAACCTACATTTCAGTTTTTGACGTACATCTTAGGGTTGTTTTTTTTTTTTTTATTTAAAGAGACTTAAACAAAATATGTTTAAACAGATTACTTCCATACCCTTTCTATTGGTAGGTCATTTTGGCTCTGATTCAGGGGTCTCTCAAGTGCCTACCCATCGCTGCTTTTCAAATAAATTAAGTGCTCTAATTTTGAGCATTTCTGCTTGTGTATTTCACTGTTATTTCCATGGATAATTCTGATACTCTTTTAATTCCAAGGTACTGTCATCAATATGCTAAATTATACTTTTATGTAATTCATAGATGTACTACAAGCTCTTACAGCTTTGCCCTGTGAATGTTTAAGTGGTTCATTTTGTTCATCTGAATATATATATTAATTTCAATAGGACTAGTCGTAATAGTAAAAAGTAGCTTGAGTTTTTGTTTACTATACTACTAATCTGTTGGAGATTAAAACCCGAGTGATTTACAAAAGTGTGTTCATTTGATTTATATTGTAAATAAAGCTATGTGCTCCTTTTTAGATGAGCACTGTTTCTAAGCAGAGATTTATTTTCTTCTCTGTAGGTGATAGCAGCTGCAAAAAGGGGATTCAAAGCTGTTGGCTATGAGTTAAATCCCTGGCTAGTCTGGTACTCCAGATACCGTGCCTGGAGAGATGGAGTGCATCAGAACACCAGATTTTATATTTCAGACTTATGGAAGGTAGGTGGTGAAGTATGTAAAAATGAATCTGGGATGTTTGAGAGACTTCCATAATTTAGAAATGCTTTCTTGAAAGAACCAGAACGCTGACTGGCCACAAAGTGCTGTACTGGGCTCTGAGTAAAGTACTCAAGCCCACAGAAGCTAGACTCACAGCACAGTATGCTGCTCAGCAGGTTCTGTGCTTCAGTGAGGCGCTGTTGTCGTGGTTTGAGCTCAGAGGGCAACTGAGCACCACGCAGCCACTCACACATCCCTTCTCTTCCAGCAATGAGAAGGGACAAATGAGCCAGGCTTGGGGTTCGAGATAGGACTGGGAGGGGCAAATCACCCATTATGGTCATGGGCAGAAGGCAGACTCGTTAGGGGAAGAAAAAAAAGAACATACATTTATTACAGACACTAACAACAACTCTTAACAGAGTAGAGCAGTGAGAAGCATTGCCACACCTTGAGAACACCTTCCCCCCACCCCTCCCTTCTTCCTGGGCTCAGCTCTGCTCCCGATATCTCTACCTCCTCCCCCAGTGGCGCAGGGGCAGGGAATGGGGGGTGCAGGCAGTGCTGCTGCTTCTGCCATCTGCGGTGGGGGGAGCTGCTGGAACTTCTCCCCCTGCTCCATCGTGGTCCCCCTCTCACAGCAGACAGTCCTCCACAAACTTTCTCCGACATGAGTCCCTCCCACGGGCCGCAGCGTTCCCCACACTGCTCCGTCATGGGTCACTAACTTCCTCCGACTGGATTCCCTCCCACGGCTGCAGCCCTTCCCGAGCTGCTCCGGCGTGGGACTCCCCCCATGCTGCAATCCTCCCAGCGCTGAATTACAGCAGTGGGGCTGCCTTTTCCCATGAGACCCCGGCCTTCTTCGGGCACAGAACCTTGATTATACCAAGCAGAAGCCACAGGCCATAAATCAGTGTCTGCTCCACTGTAGATCTCCATGGGTGGCGGGGGGGGCCGCCCTGCCGTCTCCCCACAGGGTACAGGGGGGTCTCTGCTCCGGCACACCTCCCCCCTCCTTCCTTCCTCTGTTCCTCCACTGACCTTGGTGTTCATGCAGCTGCCCCAACTCCCCCTCACCAGTCCCACTGCTCCTCACCACGTCCCTTCTTAAATATGTTCTGGCAGAGGCGCAGCTGATGGGCTCAGTTTTGGTGCAGAGGTGGAGCTGACGTGGAGCTGGGGGAGCTTCGAGAAGCTTCTCCCAGGGGGCCGCCCCGATAGCCCCCTCCCCTGCCACCAAAACCCCCCCCCACTCACTCAAGGCCGGGGCAGCTGTCCTTTTTCAGTACAGGCTCCTCGAGTACACGATGTTACACTTGTGGCTGATGAATGATGTGTTTTAATGTCAGGCTTCACTGCGAGATGATTCTGCGGAGTCAATGACAAGGCTCTTACTAACGTAATGTGCCCGATCACAATCTCATCTGCCATTTCATTACACATGTTCTTTTCTAGCTGTGCAATGTGTTACTTGGTTTTGAGTGTTGCTTTAAGGTAGTTTACATCCACGCAACTGAAATTTTTTTCCAAATTTTTAGTCATTTGAGTCACAATTGCCTCTTTAACAAGGCATGCTTTTTTAGATCGTGCGTGAGCCTCTCCCCTGATACTCCTGTCAAAGTTTGGGGGTTTTTTGGTTTGCTTTTGGCTTTTTTGTTGCTGCTCTTGTTGTTGGTTGCTTTGTTCTTGTTTTGATTATTTTTTTTTAAGAATGGCATTTTGTAATTGGTAAAGTGGATACCGAGAATTTTTGGGAGAAGTGTGAATGTAATGTTTTTATTTTTATTTAGAAAGGATCATTAAAAAAACTTCATGGCACTGACTGGAAGAACCCAGGCATTGGAATGCCTGGCGAGTTTATAGCTAGCTAACATTTAACAAAAGTGTGAGCAAACATAAATCTACCTAATTTTAACATATACAGGAGCTGTTGAAAAACTTAGCCACGAGTAAAATTATGTAGGCATTTTCTAAATTAATACTTTCTATGATACTAGAATTGATGCCATATTCTTGGTCAGGCAGTAGAAGTTTCTTGCTGTTCAGCAATGTAACGTTGACTTTATGTGGAAATTTCTGTCCTGAAAAGTTGATATGGTATCTCCTTTCTTATTTTTGGTCTAAATCCCTGTTGAAAGGAGTGCACCTAGAAGCATTAGGGGGAAAGAATGGTGAGAGCTTCTCCAAATATAAATGCCATTTTCATTAAGATGTGTTCTCAAATTTTATTTTAGGTTTCTTTTTCCCATTATACGAACGTTGTTGTTTTTGGAGTACCTCAAATGGTAAGTTTACTATTTTATGCATTGTTTAATTATTTTGATACCAAGGCATTCAGTGGTGGTACGTGCATCTGTAGAATAATGAACCAACATGCAGAGTCTCAAAGGTAGTACTAATATTTTGGTATTTTATTGTTGCTTGTTAATGTCCATGATAAAACCTGGTAAAACTTGTGGCTGTATGCAGACTGGAACTCTGAAAATATACATGTTTTTGAGAAGTATTTTCTGTCTATTAGTTCAGAACCAAAATGAAAACGGCTGTGTTCAAGTTGCTCGCGGGGAAGGTGATAGACTGGCTCTTGAAAATTTCATTTATTCTTACTGAAAAAATTAGGAGTTTGCAGGAAGAGGATGGAGTGGATAATTGGCTACAGCTGATTTTGGGGAACCTTGTTAGAGGAGAATATTGAACTTTGCTTATTCTCTTCTCCAAAATCCAGATCACCTTGTATAGACCAGCAGCTGGTACATTGACATAATCCCTTGCCCACGTTAGACTGTGGGGATTTAGGAAGGGAGACAGATTGTTTCAAGTATAATTGCTAGAGTACAAGTCCACAAATCCTTTGCCTTTTAGGAAGGCTTTGTAGCCTGCATTCATCACGTCCCTGTGGAAAATGCGTTCTTCAAAATTGGTGTAAAAATTGAGTTGCATAGTGACTGCTTTAGTAATGTCTTTGATAAATTCAGTCAGACTCGGCATTCGCTTTGGCCTTTGGCTTGGGCTAGTTCTCTTGTTCTCTTTTACTAGAAGAGAGAAAAAAAAATCTTACGTATTTAAATATTGTTGGTATTTTGGTTTATTATTAGAATCTTCTATATAGATTGAATGCATATGGAGGAGTGAAACAGAAATATCCTATAAATATTTCTGTATTGCTTCTTCCTCTGGTAAGGCAGATGTGGGATGAAATCACTGAAGGACTTTATGTGATGCTGTACCATACAACATAGGCTGATAATATTTCCGTAGTAGTAACAGGAAGATGCAATAAGTATAATCAAGCTTCCCTATTCTTTGCTTTTTCTTTAACAGCATTGGAATTAAATACCTGCTTCAGAGTAAAGTTGTAAGTCGTGTTGAAAACTGAAGTGAAAATGCGTGGGGCTTTTTCCTCCCCTACTTTTGTGGGTGGCATATTAGTGAGAGCTGTGTTACTTGTGCTACAGGTGTTGCGTGGTTTGGATGTTAGGTGCTCTCTGCCTTGGTTTCCAGGAGGGGGCAGTGTAAATATTTGAATTTGCAGTCAGAAATTCTGCAGTTGCACTGAGGGGAAAAGTGCAGGTGAAGAAGGATATTTTAGTAAACTAGAAATAAACAAATGCTCTGGGAAAAATGTGATTAAGCCTAGCCGAAATACTGGCTTAACTTTAAATGTAATAGTATAAAGTGGGATAAATTAGTAACAGCTATGATAAAAAGAGTAGCTACAGGGCTCCGAATAACATCACTAAATCCAGTAAATACGAGGCTAAATTCTTCCAATAAAAATACTGTCATAAGTATCACAGATCCAAGCATATGAACCTCTGTTTTCTGATCATTTGCTCATGATCCCCTTCATGCATTCACAACTTCCGAAGTAAATTTAGTCTCCTGAATGACTAAATTGATTTTCTAGAAACTTTAATGCATTTCCTCTTTTTTACTGAGGGCAATAGATCTCTTTAGCTTTTTTAATAATACTGGTCTGATTTGAAGCTGTCACAGCGTTTTTATTTCATATCCAAGATTAGCTTATAGAACTTGGCTTTATTGATCTCAGCGGAAGACTAAGACCTCTGTTCTTGCAAGCGTCTGGGGAAAGGTGTGTTTATTTGTGAGTCACTGCAGAGAGACTTTTTCTTGGTCAGGGTGGGATAACAGAATTTTTACCAGGTGTTCATGTTGTCAGCTTCTGTGTATTTTAACTGATTATATACTGTACAAAAGGTTTATGAAACTGCATATCTGTGTAGACATAACAAAGAAACAGAACCCTGGTTTGATTAAACAATACAGTATGATTATAAAACCTAATGTTACTGAGAGATTTAGCTTAAAAACTAGTTTGACTGTGTGGTTCAGCAGTACGATTCTTTGTGGGTGAACTAGTAATTAAATTTTTAAATTTGAGCTAATAAAGACATGAGATGTCACTAATTTTCATAATTACTCATTAAAAATTAGACTATGTCTGTATTTGTACTTTCTGTAACAGCTTAGGCCTTCCTTTCCCGGTGTCTCAGCTCAGTTTGAGATACCAAAATGGGCTTATTTTTCTAGTTTCTTTAATATGTGGTAGCAAAAATGTTTAAAGCATTTGTTGTATGGATTAAATGAGAGCATAGAATACTTAAAAATATTCAGAGGTAACTCTTTGATATATTAGATCTATGACTCTAATTTTCCTCAAATATTCCATTCTAAGCTTAAATGTAGCTATAATAGGATGTTACATCAAAGGCACACCCTGCACGTATGTGATAGTGGAAGCTATCTGCAGCCTTTGGAAATACATTTTCTTCAGTCAGTCTTGTTTTCTAATAATGTTCTGTTGTGTGTTTTTCTTCTGTGATTTTTTTTAATGTATTTTCTGTCCTTCCTGATTTAAATTGAGCTGTATTTGTAAATAATTACTGTCCTTTTAACCTTTTAATATCTAAATGTTATGTCATGATATCAAAGTAAATAGATTTTAAAATGTAATAGAAGTAACCTGTGGGGCTTGCCATTATAATTACTCCCTGAGATAGATACTGTATGTAAGAACAAAAAGAATTCCAAATGGATGTGCATTGATCTGCTTAAGTATAACACCAAACTTTTTCAAAGGACAAAAATGGCTAAATCTATCAAGGTTTTTTTTTTTTTTTATTTTTTGTTTTTCCAGAACATAACTACTATCTGGGATTGGAAAATTTTTTCTTTGAAGTCTAGATGTGTTAATTCGTTTCTCAATCCATAGGAGAATTTGCAAAGTACTTATTGGAGATGGAGTATCTGACTGGGCGGGGTGTTGCTCTGTTCTGGAAAAATAGTGATATTGCTCTTGACTTTCATGTCTGTTCAATTTTTGCAAATGGAGAAAAGCTAGACTGTAGATCTTCAACCAAGGAGAGTTGCATAGTGGTATTTGACGCGGACCCCCACAACATCCTTCTCTGTGAATCAGAGAGATATGGATCCGATGGGTGAACTGTTCAGTGGACAAAGAATTGGCTGGATGGTTGCATCCAGAGAGTAGTCGTCAACAACTCAGGGTCCAGATGGAAATCAGTCAGGAGTGGTATCCCTCAGGGACCAGTACAAGGACCAGTACTGGTTAATACCCTCATCAGTGACATAGTGGGATTGAGTCCACCCTCAGGAAATTTGCAGATGACATGGAGCTGAGTGGTGTGGTTGACGCGCCTGAGGGAAGGGATGCCATCCAGAGGGACTTGGACAAGCTCGAGATGTTGGCCCCGTGTGAACCTCATGAGGTTCAACAAGACCAAATGCAAGGTCCTGCGCCAGGGTTGGGGCAACCCCTGGTATCAGTACAGGCTGGGGGATAAAGGGGTTGAGAGAAGGCCTGCTAAGAAGCATTTGGGAGTACTGGTGGATGAAAAGCTGGGCGTGAGCTGACAGTATGGACTCACAGCCCAGAAAGCCAACCGTATCCTGGGCTGCATCAAGAGAAGTGTGGGAAACAGGGCGAGGGAGGGGATTCTGCCCTTCTACTTCACTCTGGTGAGACCTTACCTGGAGTAACTGTGTCCAGCTCTGGGGCCCCAACAAAAGACAGACATGGACCTGTTGGAGTGTGTCCAGAGGAGGGTCACAAAATGATCAGAGGGCTGGAACACCTCTCCTATGAGGCCAGGCTGAGAGAGTTGGGGGTGTTCATCCCAGAGAAGAGAAGGCTCCGGGGAGCCCTTAGTGCAGCCTGTCAGTAATTAAAGGGGGCTTCTAAGAAAGATGGGGACAGACTTTTTAGTAGGGCCTGTAGCATTAGGACAAGGGGTAATGGTTTTAAACTGAAAGAGAGTAGATTCCGACTTGATATAAGGAAGAAATGTTTCCCAGTGAGGGTGGTGAGACATGGGAACAAGTTGCCCAGAGAGGTGGTGGATGCCCCCTCCCTGGAAACATTCAAGGTCAGGTTGGATGGAGCTCTGAGCAGCCTGATCTAGTGAAAGATCTCCCTGTTCAGTGCAGGAGGGTTGGACTAGGTGGCCTTTAAAGGTCCCTTCCACCCCAAACTAGTCTATGATGCTGTATGCTGATTCATATACTTCTGCTGCAGGGACTTACATGCATGTGTTAACAGGCTGGAGCCAACAAAGCTCAATTTCAGTAGTATTTAACATACCAGTACTTTACCGTACAGTGACAGCAGAATGTTGGCTTTGGGTTGTTGACTCTGTGATGTTTTGAGTGTCTCAGGATCTGTCTTGGGGTTAGACTGGAAATTATGAGAGGCATTGGCCTTTGAGTATCACATAGTAGTACATGTGACTTGGGGTGTCAGAAATTCAGGGGGCTGAACTTTCTCTACAGAGAAGAACCCCACTGAAGAAAATCATGAATTGGAACATGTAAAGTCTTTTCTTAATTTGTGGGTTTTTTTTGTCTAAGATATTATCTACAGTTTTTGATCGAATTTTTAGATCTTAAATTTATGATTTTCTTCATATCACCAATCAGGGCACAATACCCATTTTCTAGTTTTAGATGATCTTTTTCAATGCATCAAAGCCAAAATTGTGTATCGTGAATGGTTTCCTAAATCTTTTTTCCAAAAATTCCTCAAACCTTGGATTCCTCTTGAACGCTTGAATTAGATTCTAAAGAGCATGCTTCTGGTTTTTACTGCTTTTGAAAGCTTTTTATTGTTACTCAACAGATGCCACAGTTGGAGAAGAAACTGGAAGAAGAACTTGAATGTAATGCCAGAATCATTGCCTGTCGTTTCCCTTTCCCTTGCTGGATCCCAGATTGTACTGCTGGAGAAGGAATAGACACTGTGTGGGCCTATGATTTGAAACATTCTAGAGGATGTGAAACAAAAAGCTTGGAAATTACAGCAGGAACAGAATCATAAACATTTAATTTGGTTTTGTACTGAAATTTTTGGCTTTGACTTCACCTGTTAAAGATAAGATTAATGTGAGTAGAGCCCTTGGAAATGGAGATACATATTTGCTAAAATAACTGAAGTACACTGGTTATCTGAAAGCACACAAAGGTTAGTGAAGGTTGTAGTTAAATGGCTTAATATAGTTAGTAGAAATTATGAGAAAGTTTTATAGAAGTGGAAGGCTTTAATATGGAAGATGGGATAAACCACAGCTCACTACTGTTAAAGGGAATATATGTGTAAGTTAAAATGCTCAAATTGACAAACTTAATATGTGCGTTCTTTCTGAGCCTACGTAGAATTGGTTATTGGTGTTGGAAGTTGTGTGCAAGTGGCTTCTCAAATGAGCTGTGGTTCCCAAATGTCTTCTTTATGTATGTCAAGTAGGCATAATGATACATACATCAAACTGGCGCAGACTGAGTATGGTGATGATACCAATGTTTTGCACCTCGGCCTCGAATGTGTAATTTTTAAAGTTGAGTACGACACAACAAGGAAATATAACAAGTTTGTTATTCGTTAACACAAGTGCAGCTCTTGATTATATTAATGTATTTTTATTTAAAGTGTTATGTGAAGACAAAACTTCAGAAATATACTCTTACTGAACACTTATTGGTATAAGTCTTTGTAAATAACCATGATTTTTCCGAACTTCTCTGAATTAGGAAGGGTTTCAAAAGTCATCTACTTGGCAGTGAAGTGTCACCACCTCTATGTGCTAAAACCTTGACTAAGGTATGGGTGAGAATTGCTTACCTGAACCTGTCATGAAGACTGTCTCAGATTCCAGAGCTAGTTGGTTTGCCTAGCTTGGTTAAATCTGATTAGACCCGATTTAATTTACAGGGAGTTGGGAAGGGAGGTTATCAGCTAGGCTTCTTTTCCCCTCTACTTTTCTATGTCATCTGATGAGATCTCAGAAACTCATGGCATTGCCGCCTGGCTTTTCCTTGGAAGTGAAGCAAGTTCTCCCTGTCTGTTAACTGATACTGGCTTGCAGTGGGGTATTGCCACTGCCGTGACATTTTCCTTTTCTAACGTGGTTATAGCACTTTTCTATTTTGTAACAGCCTGCTTGCTTGGTCTTTCTTTTGGTTCCCAGGTAAACTTTTTCTGTTTTCACCCATTAACAATTAGTCCGAGTTGATAGCTAGCCTCCCCTGGCTGCAGTTAACAGATAGACTGTTTAAGCAGTAACTATGTAAGTTTGTCAGACTTTTGCAAATATGGTACCCATAGAATGAAGTTAAAACGGGCTATGGTTACCTGACCTCTAGGCGGTCTTTATCATGCCTAAATTTGGCTTAGGCCAAGAGAAATGCTGATACTCTGCAACTTCAGGTAAATACAAAGCTTGTGACATTTTATTAGGCGTTGGGAAAGCATGTTTGCTGGACTGTAGTATCTGACCTGAAGAGAAGTTAGATGTTATTTGGGTTGTGCAGTCTACAGTTACATCTGTACCCAGGCTTTGTATTTCTGGTGGGAGGGGAGGAGGAAGGAGAATTTGAAATACAAATCTACACCGAAGATTTGAAATGGAGGAGTAGAATGGTTTTGTCCTGATAATGTATACAAAATGAGAGAAGAAAGGGGCAAATGCGTCCCTGCTAGAGTTTGCAAAGGAGAGGTGATTTCAGCCTCACATGGCACAGCTTGTAAACATGGAGCCTCTGCATTGAAGAACGTTGATTTCTGGTAAGCAGTCGTTTGCAGCCTTTCACTGCAGTGTAACAGTGCATCTTGTAAAACTACACTAAACTTTCCACCATGATTTAAGTCTTATGATTATTACACACTTACAGGACAGGGCTAAAGTGGTTTATCTAAAATAGCTGACTTTAATATCCCAAGGTCGTAGAACTGGAGCCTCAGACGATGGAAATCTGAAATTATTTCTACTGGAAAAAGACCATACAAAGGGGAAATTAGCTACTTAAGTCAAGTCCTTCCCTGAATGATTATTAAGGAGAAGAAGAGGCAAAAGATTTTGATCAAGTGAATTGGGACTTAGCTACAGTGCAGTGCTTTGCCCCAAGTTTCGACTCCCTACTTTCACTAAAGTTAGTTTGCAGAGAATGAAGAGGATATTTACTTTTTTTCTGCTGCGTTTGACTATGGATTTGTATATTGCATAATCATTTGCCCGTTAAACGGTAAAACTGAATTTCTTAATTCTGCCTGTGGCAAAGGCTTTGAGGCATGTACTGCTTAGTTGCCAGCTACCGCTGCAGAAATACTTGTTTAGGAGAGAAAGGTAGAATTAATGTTACGGTGGCCTGAGCTTTAGGAACACTAAATGCTGTCCTCAGGGCAAGGAGAGAATTATGAATGCTTTTAAAGTAAAGCAGAGGGCTGTTTCTTGTTCTGGCCATTTACTTTTGGGGGCCTGCACTGAGATAGACAGTGATCTGAAGGTTCAGAATTCCTTATTACATAAGGAAATGTGCTGTACTGCCTGTTTCCATGGCTGATGTGTGAAATGGAAAGCAAATTGCTCTAATTTACACAGGGATACTGGGGAAGCATTTTCCTGTCATGTTGTCCTCAATTTTTCTATCACTTGCCATGTTCATTTGATAGCTTACAAGATTAAATACTTAACTGTGACTTCAGTTATCACTGTATCTATTATCATGCTGATACACTTGGAATTGCTGGGGTAATGTAGGATGATTTGGTTGATATGCTACTTCAGAGTACAAATTTGTTTCTTCTGAAAACCAGGAAAGCCTTAGAGAACTGACTTAACCAAATTATAGTGTAGGTCTGAAGCCAAAAGAAGGAAACCTTCAAGCTACACATGCTGTTCAATACCAAAGTAATTCAGATACACGGAAAAACCTATAGTTTATCTTTGTTTATGTCTTCTAGTAGAATCACTTGCCTTTTGGGAGTTACTTGTATTATTCCTTCATTGCCCTGCCAGATCTTAGCAAAATAGTAGCTACACTGCTGAATGAGTAATACTTTCCTGAAATATTGTGGAATTTGATCTGCTTTAAAATAATACAGGTCAGAGTTCTCCAAGAGCCAGACTTTCAAATATTTCAATTTTTGTTTGGTTGGTTGGTTTTTTTTTTTATTTGATTTTTTTTTCTTCTTGTGTTGAGGCATATTATGTCCCCACAGGCTTTATGATGGAAGATCAGTTGTACCAATGCAGTCTCTGAGTGCTACAATTCTAATTTTGTAGTTTTCTATTTTGCATAATTTGGCTTTCTGGAGGGAAGGGGTATGGCTGAGAGGGAGACATCTGATAGGCAGGTTGTTCGGTATATTGCACAGTCACTACAGCTACATGTCAGCCAAACTTGTCCAGATTTGTTTGTGAAATGTGCACATATTTTGTGAGCTTTAGGCATTTCTGTATTACTGGGTGTATTGAAGATTGTGATGTATCCTCTGCTCTGATTACATGCTGCCACGTAATCTAATATTGCTCCGAGGAAGTTAATCCTCTGTCTCTGAGGTGCTGTTTATTTCTGACTCATGAGCCAGGTAAGAAAGTAAAGAATCAAGTTTAAAATTAAGTATCTCGTCTCACAAGCCCGTTGAATGAGTATGGTCTGTGAAGAAAAAAAGTTGCAAAGCCCAGGCTTTGGGATAGATTTTCACCTTTAATGAAGGGCACAGCTCAGGAGGCAAGAGAGATCTCCTGAATTCTGCATAAATTATTTAAGAACGATTTGAGCTTTGCTTTTCCCACGTGTGCGTTCTTTAAAAGCTTTTACCACCGTAATACCATTCTGAGATCTACAGGGGAAGTAAGCAGAGGTAACGTTTTGTTTATCTTTTTATGTTTTGAGCTATAGGAGGAAAGGAGGAGACTCTTCTGGCCCAAGTATGGAAGTTTGAACTATTTCCAAAGCAGTGGGACAGACTTGCACGTCAGCTGTGCGTATTTCTCACTGGCTAGGAGCATCCGTGCTAAGAAAGGGCTGTGGTGAGCAGTCGCTCAGCCTGGTTCGTGTCTGATACCATTCCCCTTGAATGAACACTAATTATTGGTAGATCACCTCATATTTCTGTAGTTTCACTTTTCATGACGGTTTACAAATACCGAAGCATTTATTCAAGAAAGGACATGAATCCTTCAAACTCATGGTTGAAGTGGGCAGCCTAATATCAGATTTAATGACAGTAAATTTGCTTTGAGTGAGTTATTTTTATTTTACGTTTGCCAGGTTTGCAGTTCTCTAGTTTTACAATGTATCCTCAGCTTGTTTTTCAGAAGTAACAATGTTTCTTCTAGAAGACTTCTTCAGTTCTTGATTAAGACAGTGTGGCATCTATGTTTAACTTAAAAATCACCCTGGAGTGAGATTGCTGCAGAATTAATATTGTCAGCATTTTTCTTTGTGTGATAATCTTTCTATTCATCATTGCATGCTTTATTGAGGGAGACTTACACATGGATAGTTACCGTTTTTTTTTTCTTAATTTTTTTTTCTGAATTCTCCCTCTTATTTCAGTGTTTGCTTCTATTTTTCATATTGTGTTTTTACAATTTGACGGTTTGGCTCAATAAATTCATCAGACCTTCTTTTCATTTCCTTCATTTTTTTTTCTATAAACTTGCTCTTTTTTTTTCAGCAACTGTGAAGGAAGACTAAATATGTTAAGGAATGTCCCTTTTCTCTCTAACATTTTAACATGTATTTAACTAACCTCCTTGATTTATTTAGCAGTCTGTATGCTGACATAGCAAGACTTTTGTTTCCAGTAAATGAAAGAAAAACACATCCACCCATATGGTGTTTAGACTGAAAAATAGCCTCGGTCTACAACAATTCTGACTAGTAGTTTTAAGTACGTAATTTCACACTTTTATTATATTTCATCACTTGGCAAATGAATACAGGCCTTTTATCCATTCAGTAGTTCTTGGATTTGGGTTATTTGTCCAGGTGGGATTTTTGCTGATTTCTTCTTCTTAGTATAATGTTGGGGTTTCTATTAGAGGCTTCAGTTGAAATGTCGGACTGATGTTTTTCCTGCAAATTGCTGTGTAGTCCTTGAAGGATTGCTGTAATATAATCCAGTGAACTGCTAGCATTGGTAAAAATTAAGTAAAACCCGTTTACCAGTAAATGTGCAGGCATATTTTTCAGCTTGCTGTATATGTTGTGGGTTTTAAAAATAAAGTAGGTTTTTGAAGACCCATATAAAGCTTGTGGCATAAAGTTTTGAGATGAGCAGAGGTCTTTGCAAGGTCAGAAGCAGTAAATTAATGGCTTTCAACCTGAGGTTTGTGGGTACTTTCTGAAGAATCCACAAAAAGTAATTTAAAAAGCAGATCTACTATCAGTAGGTTCATATTTGCTACCCGTGGTTGTGCCCTTCGATTGGAAAATGTTAATGTGTCTGAAATGATGAAATAATGTGAGAATCCCTGAACTAAAAATATGGGTTTACGTAAGACACTAGCTAAGTGGAATTGAGTTTATCCAAGTGAGGAATTTTTTTTTTCTTTCTGTTGTTGCTTGCGTGGACTGTTGAGACTTGAACCTCTGCAGT